ACTACCAGAGCTCCTTCTTCTCTGAATAGGGTCCCACACTCCACTCATGCTCTTCTCCCTTGATGGTCCTAGAGTCCTCTGTTCTTGCAATGTAAGATTAACTTCTCCTCCCTTTTTGCTACAAAACTTCTCCCTTTACAGTTGTGACAATCGCAATATATCATGATAATAATTACTAACTGTTGAATCTTAAGAATCATATTCCCATCTCCTTTCACCAGACCCAGCGACAAGATGAAAACTATTCAGTGGGGGGTTCCACCCTCCCCTGTACACTCTGAAATTAAACTCCCTCTTGAAAACGTGTAAGCCAGTCACTTCATGCCTTTATCGTGCTCTCCACCCCCCACCCCACCCCCATTTTAGGTAGCCAGTGTCTAAGTTGCCTGTTCTTGGACACTTCATTCTCATCTCTATTCATCTGTAGCTATGTCCTTGTTCATGGGCTCAGGCATGCTACCTCATGAAATGGTTGAACAGCTTCCATTTCTTTTTGGTAACTCTTTGTATACCTTCCGTCTTCTTCTAATGGTTTCTGCATCACTGAATATTTTGCCCATTGTTGTTGTTAACTGCTGTTGAGTCAGTTCTGACCCATCATGACCCTGTATAGCATTTCCAAGGAGGAGCTGGTGAGCTGGAACTGCTGACCTTGCAGTTCCAATTAACTTGGCAGTCCAGTGCATAGCCCACAGTGCCACACTAGGACTCCATTTTGCCCATAGACTCCTTCAATATTGTAAGTAAGCCAAGCCTTGAATGCTTTATTCAGTTTTTTAAGCTTAAGAAATGCTTACCATGTTCTTCCCTTTAGTTTTCTAACTCCAGGTCTATGCACATTTCATTAGAATACTTTATTTTGTTTTCTTTAGCTGCCTTTTGAAATTTTCTGTTCAGTTGTTTGACTTCCACCTTTCTTTCATTCTCTTGACATCCCTATATTGGAGAGCAAGTTTCATAGTTTCTTCTGACATCTTTTTTTTTTTTTTTCAGCTATCTTTGGAATGACCTTTTATTTGTTTTCTTTATGATATTGTTGACGACTTCCCAACACTCTTCTAGTCATTCATTATTACTGTCTAATGCATCAAACCTGTTCTTCAGATGGTTTGTAAGCTCAGGTGGGATGTGTTCATGGTAATATTTTGAGTCTCATGGACTTTACATATTTGTCTTCAGCCTCAGCCTGAATTTGTATATGAGCAATTGATGGTCTGTTTCACAGTTTGCCCTTGGCCTTGTTTTGGTTGGTAATATTGAGCTTAACTACCATCTTTCCCCACAGATGTAGTCAGTGTGATTCCTGTGTATTCCATCGGTTGCTGTACATGTGTATTGTCTTCTGTTATGTTGTTTAAAAAGAAATTTAAAATGAACAAATCATTGGTCTTGCAAAATTCCACAATGCAATCTCCAGAATAATTTCTATCCCCAAAGCCATAGTTTTCAAGTAGTGATCCTTCTTCATTTCCAACCTTCACAATCCAATCACCAGTAATTATCAGTACATCTTGATTACATATTTGATCAATTTCAGACTGAAGAAGTTGATAGATTCATTTCAATTTCATCACAACTGTCTTTAGTGGTTACTGTGTAAAATAACATAATAGTGATATTAGGTGGTCTTCCTTGTAGGAGTAGGATATTATCCTATCACAGACAGCACTGTATACTTCAAGACAGAATTTTTTGCTAATGTTATTTCTGATAATGAATGTAACACCATTCTTCTTGATTTTGTTGTAAACAGTATAATTAAACATACAATTAAAAAAAATCAAAATGGCCGATTGTAGTCCATTTAGCTCACTAATGCGTAGGAAATAAATCTTTATGTGTTCCATTTCATTTTTGGTAACTTCTAATTTTCTTATATTCATACTTTGTACCTTACATGTTCTTATTATTAATGGATGTTTGCAGCCATTTCTCCTCATAGAAGGACTTGTTGTTGTTGTTATGTGCCATGGAGTCGGTTCCCACTCATAGTGACCCTGTATTGGGTTTCTGAGGCTATAAATCTTTATGGGAGCAGAAAGCCTCATCTTTCTCCCGGGGAGCAGCTGGAAGTTTCGAAATGCTGACCTTGAGGTTCACAGTAAGATTCATAACTACTATGCATAGAAATAACAAGTTTGATGCTCTATCTCTGCCAGTTTCTGAATTTCTTGACTCTCTATTGTCTTTAATTGTTATCAAACTTATCAGTTCTTTTGTGACTTAAGTCTTGTAGAACCTTATTGAATACATCCAAAAGTAACTAACTCATGCTATAAACAATCTTGTTCTCATTTTAAACTAATGTAAAATTTATATTACATCATTACTCATATAGTTTTGTTTCCAAGATATCATAGGTGACAGTTATACTAAGTGCTATATTGTGCCATCCATACATTGATATATTTCCAACTTGCAATAGCATATTCTGTTGCATCCAATGCTTAGTTTTCAGGGCATTAAGCAATGCTAAAATTTAAATTTTTTTCCTACAGTAACACAGAACTACTTGTACAAATTTTCACAAATTATAAAAGACTGAATTATGCTATATTGGTAAGCTACTCAAAAAACAAAGATTTCTTTCTGTTAACACTAGGGATCCATATTGGGTCAATTGATGGTATCATGGCATCATTGGGAGATGATTAAGTAGAAAGCACATATATAGCTTCTGCCTGGAAGTTACATATGTCATCGCACTTGAGTTTCATTGCCAGAAAAAGTCATAAGACCAAGCCCAATTCAAATACATGAAGATGTATGACCCTCCCCCAGGTTGTGGAGGGAAGGCAGGTATTGAAGCACAGATACACAATATACTACAAACATAACAAGTTTCATTTTTCAGAAACTATTTTATATGTCCCGGACCTTAAGAGGCACCCATTATCAGTATATCAGGAGACTAAAATAAAATCAGAAAATAAGGAATCAGAGAAATGAGAGTACAGGAAATAGAACAACCAGAATGAAATTGTAGAGAAAGTTGACACATTGTGAAAGTTTAGCTGTCACTGTGCAATTTGTGTTGTTGTTGTTGTCAGGTGCCATTGAGTCAGAACCGACTCATAGCAACCCCATGCACAGCAGAACAAAACAATGTCTGATCCTGGGCCAACCCCACCACCGCTGCCACACTTGACACCATCAATGATGCCACATGGCTGATCCATCTTGTTGGGGGTCTTCCTCTTTTTCTCTGACCCTCCATCCTACCCAGCATGATATCCTTCTCCAGTGACTGTTCACTCCTGAAAATATGTCCAAAGTATGAGAGACGAAGCTTAGCCGTCCTGGCCTCCAAGGAGCACTCTGGCTGCACTTCTTCCAAAAACAGATCTATTGGTTCTTTTGGCAGTCCATGGCACTTTTAGTATTCTCCTCCA